TTTTTTGTTTTTTGTTTTTTGTTTTTGTTTTTTCGTCTTTTTCTTCTTGCATGTCCTTTTCATTCTTCTTAACTTCTTCTTGTTCTTGCTGCTTTTTCTACTTCTGCTCTTCTTCTACTTATTCTTTTCCTTTCTGTCTCAATTTCTGCATTTCTTTCTTTCCGTTTCTTTTTCTAAATCTATTATTCGTTTATTTTACCTGTGTACTCACCCGTTGACAGCACTCGTCATGTCCATCAAGTCTCTTGTGGTGCTCCTTTGCGTGACTGCTGTGTTTTTGTGCACGGCAGATGCTACCATAACTGTGAACGACTGTCATGGCGGTAAGTAATTTATTTTTGATATGAAATCAATGTACTATCAAGGTCGACCATTGGGGCAATTTATGGGTGTTCTCGGGAGCTCAAATGCTTTCATAAAGGAAAAAAGACAAGGAAATTTTAAGATTTACAGATTTCTTTGATTTTGTGAAACGTTAATCCAATTCTTCTTGTTTTTCATTCTTGATGAATTTAAGAAATAAAATCTAATTGAGAGACAAAAGTATTTGGTGTTTTAACATCTTCCTGTCGTCTTTTTCAACGATATTTATTATCGATTCAAAGAAATTCAAAGAAAGTGTTTCTTAAAGAACCGCTACTTATTAAACAAAACCTAATTGGAAAAATAAGCACCATGTTCAAAAAAGCAAGCAAAAATGTGTATCTTTAGAATGTGATTGCTACGAAAAAAATTTCCAATAAAGTTATTTGCAATCAAAAATACAAAGATTTGTATAATTGATGAAATATCTTTAGCAAGGGGATGTGTTCAGTGTGATTAATGAAATAAGCAGAGAAAAATATAATATGCCCTTAGCGGGATCTTATCGATATTCTAGTTCGACAGTAGCCCATTGCCCGGAGCGTGAAACCAATACCCCTATCTCAGTTATTGTCTGACTGGACTGGTTATTTTATATTATTTTATWTTATTTTATAATATTTTGTTGTCAGATCATTCAAAGCCTTGCCATGTTTACAATTCGCTTTAGATTCTTGTCATTAACTTGCACTTTCTTTATTGTATCGTCTGTTCTTACCGTTTTTAAATTTTTCTTGAATACATGTGAAGAAGTTGTCTTCTGAATGTTTCCTGTTCTTTGAGGAAATCTTTTAAAATGCCAACATTATCTCAGTAGTTAGTTGTTTGTCCGTCATAAGCTTGTACATGAAAATCTCAATGAAATATGACGGSCGCTTTTTCGTGTTAAAATTGCTATAATTCTTCAGTTTTTTCATTTATCTGTACTTTCCAAAACCTCCATTCCTTTCCTTGATACAGTCTTGTATTTTCTAAGATTTTTTAAGAGACCAAGCAGAGATTTCGACGAAACTTGCATGCATTTGTTTGTTTTTCGCTACTCGCTATCTATCACAGGATAGATAGTGAGTACGTTAGCCAATCAGATTGCAGGATTCTGAGAGGGATGTGTTAACCACTACACTACAAGGAGCAACCACGCTTTTTCCTTATATTAATTTATAAAAAAACGTCAGAAAATGTCAAAAAAAGCACAAAATAATAAATTTATGGTCATTGTCATTTGCATTGAGAACGCAGCCGGACAATGAAGTTTTTTTTTCTTTAACGGAAAGTTGAAAAACGTATCGTTGGGTACGCAGCAGTGGCGTAGCGAGAATACCAGAGTTGGAGGGGCAGGCAAACGCGTTTTGGCGCGATCCACAGGTAGCCCAAAAAGATAGGGAAAATGCATAATAAAAAATAGACAAATCCACTTGGGCGTAATGTATTCCCATTTCAGTCCTCGTGAAATTCGCTAGAATATCATTTCTTTGTTTGACGGTCGTGCACGAGAAAACACATGAAAGGGGATTTGTATGAACGATTTTTAATAGAACGATTTTATTTTTTAAACCGTTAGCCTTGTTTCTGATGAAATGTTCCCCTTATTACGATCTAAATTGCAAGTATTTATTCCATAGGTAATTCTGCAATTAGATTAACGAATTTTAACGTCGAGAACGGCTACATCCCCCTTGCGGGAGGCCAGCGTGATATTAGTGGAACAGTGTCCGTAAACGTTGGCACCTCCCAAGTGACTCAAGTGCAGGTTAAAGTGGAATACGCAAAGGCAGCAGTTTCGTTCCTGTCAATCAATTTGTGCGATCGTGCTGAGTTGAGTGAATATTGGTAAGGTTTAATGATGATCAGCCATATATAGCCTAGTAGGGTTCTAAGGTCTATTGTGGACTTAAAGTGGACTCACTAGAAGGAGAAAGAACCAACCGTACGATATATATATTACAGAGAACCTTAATTCTATACTTTCACATCCCCATAATACTTTGCGTCTTTTTTTTCTTATTCGGGGCGTAGCGAGGTCTCGATCTTAAAGGCAGTGGGGGGATGTACCCTTTTCCCGCCAAATCCACAGGAATCCCGCATGAATTAATAAAATGTCGGTGCCTAAAGCAAACTTTTGCTTGTCCCCTCTACGCTACTGCTTATTCGCCTCACTTATACGCTACTGCTTATTCGCTTTATTTTATTTTATTTTTTTAATTTTGGCTTTCATTCTATAGTGTTTTCATTTCATTTCACAGTTCCGGAAGTGGAAGGACTTTGAGTTGCAGTCAATTCGCTACGTTAATGGGTGGTACTGGTCTCTGTTCTGGTTCTGGACTATTCCAGAATCATAACTTTGACTTCAATGTTAGGCCAACCATTCCATCTACTACTACATTAAAGGTAAAGACGGGTTTCTTTTTATTTTGCCTTATAATGTTTATTATACTTTTGTTCACAATATACTTATATTAGCATTAGAGGCAATATTCCATATCATTTACTTATTTAATATCTTTAATCATGTTTATGAGGCCGAATAGAAGGTAAGTCAATGTCGCTTGAAATGTCATTTACATAAATCCTGGACAGACACAAGGACGTTAGTCCACAGGAATCCCGAAATTATGATCTCGAAGATCATTGGACAAATATCAACAATAGTTTCTCCCCCATAGTCAATTTTTTAAACTGGTTTAAAACTGCATGGAAGAGACCGCGTTTTTGGTCGAAAAAACAAGCTGAAGTTACTTTACTTAAAAAACGTGTTGATAGTCTGGGGTTATCTGCCACTACTGAATACATCTTTTGTTTTTCTTACCCAATCAACTATAAATGTCGTTGGTGCACACTACTGAGTACATTTTAGGCAATAACTTCCAAACACTTTCACCAGAAAACCATTCATGATTGTATGGAGGGAAGGGGCGTCTCCCTTGTTTCCGGACTTGCATTTCAGGACAATGCTGTTACCATACGTGACGTCACAAAGCATCCGATGGATTCTTCAGGATTCTTGTCCTCGTTGTTGATATAAGTAAAACGTCATAGCAGTTGGAAAATGAGTTGACATTGGCAATGTACTTTGGGCTGCTTTAGGGGACAAAATAGACGCCAGTTTCGACATATGTCCCCTAAAACAGCCCCACAATGCACTGCGATGCCATCTCGATCCACTTTTTATCCTCGACATTGGAGTGGCGTATGCCAATATCTCTTGGCCTGCTTTAGCGTGTTTTATTTCCCAATAATTTCAAATGAATTTCCATTTTAAAAGTAAATCCTATTTACCCTATATTCTAAATGATATTAGGCTCCTAACACAACACTGAAACTGTCTCTAATACAATGCTTCCTTTTTTCTTTTTTCTTTTTTTTTTTTTCCCACGTTTATTGAGCATCTAATATATCTTCAATCCAGGTGATCTCGTTTTGACAGCCCATCAAAATCTAGCAAATTGAAAATCATCGCTCAGAAGAAATCTGGTCAGGCGGTCCAACTAATCTATTAGTGTATTATGCCGGGGGGGGGGGGGGGGGAAACAAGCCGGCCCCAGTCAGAAAAAACAACTCTGAATCCTTGATTTCCTAGCTTCTTTATACGGGCTAGAATTCAATGGATTTAAAATTCTACCTATACTTAAAACGACTACCTATGGCCGTTCAAATGGTGCATTGTGCTTTCAATTCTTTGATGAAATTATCGTGAAATGATACTTCTTTGTTCGCCGATAAAAAACTTAAACTAGGACCGCCTGATCAACTACAAAAATCCTTTGCGCGCGTTCCCCAAGATCACCTGGATAGTGAGCTGTAACTACATGGTAAAAAATGTACATACAAAGATGCTGGGTTGCAAGCATTCTCAAAAGAGTCAAAAGACAAAAATAAAGCGGGCATCTTGGTGCAGTTAACAATGGATTGTAATGAGTAATATTTTGTTAAATGGCACCAACATGGCCGCGACGATATAACGTGCAATTGAAGATAATGTCAAACAATTGATACAAATGCATTGCTTTTGTTAAAAAACTCATGAGTCCGTCTAACTAGTCGATGTTCTACTTCAACAGTTATCTGGGAGTGTTTCAGCAAAGGCCGTTTTCAGGGTTGGAGGACAGCAAGTTGGATGCATGACTATATCAATCCCGGTCCATAACTAAACCGTACACCATTGTATTCCATTTAGTGTAGAGATAAAATATATAGAGGGTTTCCATTCTTGAATGATGTCAGTAGACAGTATTTTGGCCTTCTATCGTTGTACCCGTCGAGACTGTCCTAGCCTTATTGTAGTATATATACACCTTTTTCAAAAAACGTTGTCGGTAGGAGATCTAAAATCTAAAATCTGAAACCTGAGACACAGTAACACGCTGCAAATAGACGATTTCCGAGATGCGCGAGCGCTTTCATAAATATCGCAGGCGCAGAAAAGAAAACGAGGCATTTTGGGGCAAAGTTCATTTAAAACCTTTGGAAACCATAGAGCTATAAGCGAGTTCTACAACACTCAAAGAAAACATTTTGTCTGAAATGAAAATTTTTCACAAAAAAGTCATTATCCTGATTCAGAACTAAAAAACTCCAAAGTATTTTATCATTAACATATTCAAAAAAAAATTATATGTGTTTTCTATAATTTATAGCAGTTTTCTAATAAACGCGCGTAAGATCTTGCCCGAAAATGCCTCGTTTTCGATGTGAGCACGCCGGCGATACTCATTTGACAGCGCATATCGGTAATCGTCTAGTGTAATATATTTAATGTCAAACAACGTAGTTTCCTTTTAATTTGGAATATGAAGCAAGACATTTGAGTGAGAATTGCAATTTTTCGTATTTCACCCAGAAAACATAAAATCMCAAATATTTCGTTTAGTAGTCTCAGATCGCCATTTCAGATCTCAGACCGACAACGCTGCTTGAAATTAGAGTATAAGCGTTCTTGGTAATGTTGGCCTAACAGAGGAAACTGTTGCCGTAAATCAGGGTAATGAGCCGTTTCCATATCGATTAAGGGACTTGGTAAGATCGTTAAAAAAATTTCAATTATGTTTGGAGGAACAATAACCAATGATGTGGACGAGCTGCATAAAACAAAACAGCGTATCGACCAAGTTTATTTTAAACCGCTTACAATATATAATCAATTCCTTGAGCATTCAAAGACTGCCAAAACTATAGAGAAATATGCCCGTATCCCTCTAAACGTTATACCAACCATACATTCTTTGCATATTGAAATGTTTTAAACAATATTTCGTTATACGATTTGCACAAACTTGATCAAATTTTCAATTCTCAGTCAATTTCCAGTCCCTTGCTCGATATGGAAATGCCTCATTCAAGAGTTTTGTACTTTAGCTAAAAGCAAAGTGTTGTCTTATTTCCTTCTTCGACTATTTGAGGTTACTCCTACAGTGTGACAAGGTCTTGTTTGTTTTTGCTGTTTTTAAAGCCTATTAATCGTAAAAGGCCAACTTGTAATAGAAAAGAAATAGAACATTAAAGAAGAATAAAAACTCACTTAAAAACATTTTGTCTAAATATAAACTAATCAATCTTGATAAATATTTGAATAGAAATGCACCAAAATTTTAAAAAAACTTTGTCTGGTGTAAAGATTTTTTAAATTTATTATTTATTATTTTTATTTATTTATTTATTTATTTATGTTATTTATTTATTTATTTATTTATCTTTTTTTCATTTTATTCATTTATTATTTTATTTATTATTATTATTTTATTTTTTTTATTTTTATTTTTTACGGAAGCCCTGGAGGGACATTTCAGCCTTCAGACTTTAGACTTCAGAATTAGGATATTTCAGACTTCAGACTTCAGCCATGCAGCGCTGCCCAGCCTTATGTTTACATTTAGCAAAACTCAAGCTTTTTTCTTTTCGAGTTTCAGAGTTGAAGCCTAATTGTCAGACTTCAGAGTTGAAGCCTAAATTTCATACTTCAGAATTGAAACTTCAGATTTCAGATTATATTAAGTAAATTTCAAAATTGAAATTGCTTTGCTTGGGATTCCTGTGAAAAGCGCTTCGTCGTGCTGACCCAGAGGAACTGGACTCAAGGTCCAGGCTTTGCACTCGACTAGAAAGCTAAGATCTGTACCAGTTCAGTACCAGTTCAAATTGCGATCAATAGATTAGGATACAAATTTTATCAAACACTCTAAAAGGAAGCACGGGTGGCGTAGCGGCGAGAGCGCTCGCGTAGTCGACCTAGATTCGGTATCGCTAGCCTGCGTAGCTTGGTTCTATGGGAGGGGGAGAGGGCCGAGGGTAAAGAAGGGAGGGTTCTCTCTTCGTTTTAGTCAAATCCAACAAGTGGTCTGTAATCAATGCTGCGTTCTTAATGGCTAAGGCTAATAGTTATAGCCTATTAGTAGCGAAAAAAGCCAGCTTTAAAACCAAAGCATTAAATTTCACTTTAATTCAAAACTTGTTTGCATCTATATATTTGACCGACTAGTAGTTGCATTTGACTCTCAATAGCCCCTTCGGGCTCGAGGACTAATTGCTTATTATGGAAAGAAAGTTTAGATTGTTATTAATCTAATTCAACCCACTTGGTAAAACGTCCGATTTTTGAGGTAACAACGAGAGAACCATAAAACAACTCTTTTCACATACGAAAACTAGCCCGTCCGGAGGCTCGAACGCCTTAACCCAGGTTGAAAGGACCGGGCCGCAATTCTCTTCTCTAATAGCATGGAGATAGAAAAGAAATGAGAAAAAGGGATTTCTTTTGTATTTGATGTTAGCCTCGGATTAAAGACAATTTTGAGGAGGCAGGGTCCATTGCGCAACGCGCACCACCCAAACTTGTTCTAAGTCGTTCCGGAAATCCCTTTAATGCCAGCTGAAGAATTTCATCACTTTATACAAATAGTAATATCTACGGGGAAAAATTCTCACAATTAAGAAGAACCATTATATTCATTTCATAAATCTGATTGAATCTTTAAGAAAAGTTAATCAAAGATCTCGGCTTAATTGACAAAGCCAAAAAAGAATCATTCGTCACGTTACAATTTTACAAATACACAGTAAAGCTTAGACTGTATTGTGTTATGATAATAAATATGATATGTTCCCTTACATATTTTGAAACTGATATTTGCCGTGTTTTTTGACGTTTAAGACTTAAAGAGACAAAAGTGATGTACGTGTAACCGAAGAAAGCGGATTCGAGTTGTCTTCCCCTCCGTTCTGATTATTTTTAAGGTGGACTCCAAGGACAATGTCCAGACAGCCGGTTCTTTCTCCAGTCTCGGAATTGAAGAATTCGGYGGTCACGTGCAGYTCGACYTCAATCTGATCCTGAATACAAATGACCAAATATCTGTTAGACTACCATGACTGATTGGAATCAATACAGTGTCACCTTAAGCTCTCATGTGCCTCATGCATTAAGGAAATCAAGATCTAGTTATAAGGGTATTGATTGATTAGGGCAACAAAAAGAGGTAACCATCTCTACGTACGTGTATGATAATGCATCCCAGGAAGTTTCATTTAGCCTGCTTTAAGGGTATTTATCAGGTATAAAGTGATGTCATGTTGTACTTACTGCACTTAGAGTATTCAACAGCGATGACACGGTGCCTGAAATATTTTCTAAGCCTTCAGGAAGTTTAAATTGGCTGTCAAATCGTCCGTTTCTAAATCTGGAATTGGCATCACACATGCCTTGGCCTTTCACACCAAACATGTCATTCATGTCATGACAATCCATGTTTTTGCGTTCACTGAAAAAAAAAGACACGAAATATTCCGTTACTGAATACCAAATGTGCCTAGTAGCAGGTTGAAGGCCATGTTCTGAATATGCGCTGTAGCAGTTGTTAGTCACCAATTTCGTTTTTTTATTTTTTATTTTTTTTCATACTAAGCTACTTACCAGAAACGCATTCCAGGTCCACAGTCCAACTCCCTGCTAAAGGTTGTCCCGAAAGTCTTGGATCTTATCTTGAGTTCAATGGTCACCTCGGCGTCCATAGTCTTAACATTGGCAACCTTGACCTCAACAGGACCGTCTGCAGTGTAAGCACCTTTCTGCCAGTCAATCTCCTCAGCCTCCACGTTGTCTCTTCTCAAAACGAAGTCATTTAAAACTAACCCATCTGAAATATCATAAAATACAACAAATCAATTTGTGAGGAGCTGTGAACTGACTGACGATAGAACAAACAACAGCAAAACAATAGACCCCAGGACCAACCAARAGCACGCTAAGTTTTGTTCTTTTTCTGTACTGAACATGTGAATATCGATTGACAGCGCTAAGAAAATTATTCAATCATTTCTTGGAGACAACGAACCGCCTTCTTACTGTCACAGGCATGAAAGCTGTTTCAATACTAAGTATAATTTTATATCAGAGGCAAACAATGGGAGCATGACCATTGCTATGGAAACTACTCACAGCTCTCGGGACAGCGATGCCAAGGTCTGTTCCTCTGGAAAGAAAAAGAAGACACTCCTGTACAGAACACTGCTGTCAACCCAACCAGCACAATTAGAGAGTTTATCGACATCTTTCACACTGTAAAAACAAAACAAAAAAGAATCACTTAGTAGTTTCTCGAGGTATCTGAATCATGAAGGGTTTTGTTATTCCTCCCTAGTCAAACAAGCAAGTTTTTATAAACCACCATCTGAACTGAACTGTAGAAAAATCCTTTGAAAATGAACCTGAATAACAATTGTTCTAATATTATGGATAAAATATAAACTAGGATTGGAATGAAAATGCTTTACGCTTAACCATTTAAAAGAAGAAAAAAATAGTACAAGTAAAAAGGAGAAAAATAAAATAATACTGATCTAGTAATTAATTGATTGGTTTCTGGAATTCATTATTTAAGGTTCTTTAAAAAGACTTTTGCTACCAAATACTGTCCTTCTTTTGAAATTAAACAGGTATGCCTTTAAACGATACGGAAAACTAAAGTTTAAGAATCCATTACTTGCTCTTTACACTAACCTTAGCTTCTTGTAGATTTTCAATGGATGGTTCTTTGTTTGTAACCAACTTTGATTGTGGGTTTTCCTGGAAAAGCTACCTCCTCTTAAATAGAAGTAAACCAACCTCGTTTTGGTGACCAAGTCACCGTTGTCATGGTGATTGTTAAAGCTTTATATTATATGGCAGTAGCTTTATACATGACCAATAAATTTAATGTAAGCTAATTGAATTTTTCTAAATTAAGCATAATCTTTTAAAAAGTGTTTTTGTTCCCAAACGGCTGGTGTTATAAGACGAGTTTTGTTCTTTCATCGATGATAACAATAATTATAAATGAAAAAAACAATGTATAGATACATGTACTATTTTATGGATTGTTCTCCATGACAGAAAGGTAATGTTCTGGCTATAACTTGCTACAGCTAGAGTCACAGCTAATTACCAAATGACTCGTTTTACCTCAATCATAAAGGGCGGCAGTGTCGTTAAAATATTGACTCTTATTATGTAGGATTATCAGCTTTTCTTATGGTAGTAAAATATATTACGTTAGAGATCCTTTATGTTAAACTGGTTTTGTTACATTATTACCAGGGGGATGTTCAACAGCAAACGAATTTTTTGAATTTGTTTTTAAACGAAATCCTTGCAGCGAAAGTTCACCTTGACTTTTCCACCCTATGTCTTTGCCAGTTTAATATTTATCAATTTTTTTGCTTCCTTAGTGTTTCTTTCTTTTTTCTTTTTTTTTTCTTTTTTTTCGAAAAGATAGCCGACAAACAAAAAAATATCTCAATTAATTCATAAAACTATGTCAAAAAATTAAGGGGCTGGGCTTTTATTTATTTTATCTTAATCAGTTCGTCGCATTGGCAGGGATAAAGTAACAGGGCTAAGCCCCAATTGCGTGTCAATATCCCCAAAAAATGGAGATACAAAAAAAATTATTATAAATGACACAGGTTGAGTTCTTGAAAAATATGAAAAGGAAAAATACACACAAGAAAAAAACGATAAAGAAGACACACGAAAGTCAAGTCAACGAATAGACTATGGTGGCTTGTACACTACTTTAGCATTTCATCACAATACATCTTTATATAAAATGTCTTTGAAGTCTTTTAAGGTTAGGTTTTTAGAATGTGATGGAAGTTCATTCCAGAGCTTAATTACTCTTGGAAAAAAAGGAACAAGTGAAGTAATTTTGTTTATGCGAGCTGGTCAGACGATAGCAATTAGCATCAAAGTTAAGGGTCTTGTATTTTGTATAAACTGGAGATATATATTTACTTGTCTTTGGGTAGTTTAGTATAAACTTTGTAGCATGTCTTTGTACGTCCTCTATCAATCTGCGGTGTTTTGCAGTGTATGGGACCATAAGCTTGAACAGTATTCTAGCTGCGGACGTACCAAAGAACATTGGATTAGCTTCCTAGTTGTATGATCAGAAAGCTCACGTAATTGGGTAGTTGCAAACCCTGCCTTTTGAAGGCATTCACGAGAGATCTAGTGAATCAAGTTGCATCTGTCACAGGGGCGGATCTAGGGGAGAGGTGCAGGAAGAGCTCAGCCCCCACCCCTCCCCCACCGTCCTCTTCCCCAAGATCTACTTATATTTACTGGATTATTGGTGCTTGAGGTTGTAAGCAAAGGGGGTAACCCCTCTTTAATCGAAAATCCTGGTCGGTGCCAACCCCACCACCACCACTCCTAGAAACATTCCTGGATCCTTGTGTTATATGTACCATCAGTTCACTGCGCCATTTTGAAAGGTAGCCGTGCCTTTGCATCAAAGCGAGACGCACGGTAAGCTTGCTAAAAATAGAGGGAACTGTAAGGGAGACTACTTTGGCAAAAATGGCTTTTCAAGCTTTTGTGTGTGTGTGTGTATGAGTGAAAACCCGCGTATAAGAACCTAGATTTCTCCAAATTAGCCTAAAAAGATTCGTATATGAATGGTGTTTACGGGCGAATTTAGGCTATTTAGGTTCTTAACAGATTCTTATTTTCTCGTTTTTTGCTAGGTGTGGTCTATAATTATTGATATAAATTATGCATAAAGTTTCTCTGACTACAATATTGGCAAATACAAACCCTAAATGCACTTTAAAACTACACTTAATTTATTTGATCCATAGTTTTTTAGATTTGAATCTATTTGATAAAATAAGAACCTGCTTTGAAATTTTAGCCTAAAACAGGTCCTTATGTGAAGGGGGTCTAAATTGAAAATCTTAGCCTAACAGGTTATTAAAATGTTAACGTTTCTTCTAAAGACTTGAAAACACATTCCCACAGGTATCAAGTTATAAGATTTTCATTATCAAATGACCTGATTTTATAAGTTGATTTCCCCCTTAAGCTTGGAGCTTGATACTTGTTAAGTATTAGTGTTATCATAGAATGATATTGATTTCGTGGAATGTAGCTTTATAGAGATAAATACAATATTTTACTATCATACGCACCGCACAGTTTATATTTGCGGCGAGTGTAGGCCGACATATAAAGATTAGATTTACTTAGCGATGTGTATTGATCTAATGAGTTCGTTCTCAAACGCCGTTAAACAAAAGTTTAAATGAATTAGAGTTCAAAAGCTAATGAAGGAAAAGGGAAATGAACGGGAAACAAAAGGAAAGGGRAAAAAATGAATATGGATGAATGAATATAGATTACATCAAATGTATGAATTTTTCGTACCTATAATATATTTCTGAAGAACGTTGTTTGCCACAAGAACGTTAAACAATTTTATAACATTTCGAGCAAGCATCAATATTGATATCCAGATTACGGAAAGTAATTAAGTGCCATTAAACTGAATGGTCATCTATAAGATAATAGCAAACCATACTCTCACTAAGCTTAAACAATCACCATGACAACGGCGACTTGGTCACCAAAACGAGGTTGGTTTACTTCTATTTAAGAGGAGGTAGCTTTTCCAGGAAAACTCACTATCAAAGTTGTTTACAAACAAAGAACCTTCCATCGAAAATCTACAAGAAGCTAAGGTTAGTATAAAGAGCAAGTAATGGATTCTTAAACTTTAATTTTTCCGTATCGTTTAAAGGCATACCTATTTCATTTCAAAAGAAGGTCAGAAATTGGTAGCCGACTCAATATTCTTTTAAGTAGTATTCGTCTGATCGTAAACTGTTCAGTAATGAATTCCACAAACCTGATAATTCGTTTTGGCTTCCTTGTTTTCCCTTTTTGGTTAAGAGAAGCGGAAACGTTTTTGATTCCAATCCTGATTTATCGTGTTTCATCATTTCTTGAAACCTTTTCATCGTCATGAGTGGTTTAGGTAAGGTGGCTGCTTCAAGTGTTAGTATTGTTTTCATATTTGTAGCAAGAATGTCCCGAGTTCTCAGTTCTCTATCTGTGGAAATTTTTTTTTTTTTTTTTTCCAACTAGTCAGTCGAAAGTCGTTTTGAAAGTTAGGAAAAAAAACATTTCTACAGCTCAGTCACGATAATATGAGTTCAGATGGTGGTTTATAAAAACGTGCCTGTTTGACTAGGGAGGAATAACAAAACCCTTCATGATTCAAATACCTCGGGAAACTCCTAAGTGATTCCTTTTTTCTTTTTACAGTGTGAAAGATGTCGATCAACTCTCTAATTGTGCTGGTTGGGTTGACAGCAGTGTTCTGGACAGGAGTGTCTTGCCTATCTTTCCCGTCTTTCCCAATGCAGAGGAACAGCCCTTGGCATCGCTGCCCCGAGAGCTGTGAGTAGCATGGTTATTATAGTAATGTTCACCTTCCCATTCTAAATGAAGACCCCAAAATATGCTTGGAAACAGCAGCCATAGACATGACAGTAAAAAGGCGGTTCGTTTTCTCCAAGCAAATCTTGAATTATTGAAATATACATTACAAGAACAAATTGTAATTGTTCAAGAACTCATTATGAAGCAAAACCGTTACAATAATCATTAGGATTTAATTAAGATACCATATTTTAAATTTATTTATAACATAAGTTGATTTTGTTTTGGAACTTTGTATTTTTATCACCATAATTTTAAGTATTGTATATAGTCAATTCAAAAAATGTTGTCGTCGAGCAACTCAAGCCTACGCGACTAGACCGAAAGGAACTATGGGTAGTAATCATGGAAGCCGAGTTGACTGCATAATTTTATCTGACTAGTTATGCCTGGTTTACAGCACGAACGTTCGTAGGCGAGCGGGAAGTGTTGAAGGAGACGTTTTTTAAATGCCTTCATATTTTCGAAATTGTGAACTGAATCATAACTACCTTGTTTTTCTTTCCCTAAACCCAAAGACATGCATTTGATGGATTGTTTCTTGCCATTATTATCTTATTACTAGCGGGAACAATTTATTCAGAACGAATATTTAAACCGCTTCAGTGACTTTTACCCATATTTCTTTCGGTCCAGTCGCGTAGGCTTGAGCCAGTCGACGACAACGTTTTTTGAATTGACTGCATATACACGACTCTCTGGAAGAGCATGTGTTATGAAGAGATTATCGTGTTTAAATAAAGTTTTACTACTACTACTAACAAATCTGAGTTTACTCTTGGCTGGTTTTGGGGTCTATTGTTTTGCTGTTGTTTGTTCTATCATCAGTCAGCTCCTCACAAATTGATTTGTTGTATTTTATGATATTTCAGATGGGTTAGTTTTAAATGACTTCGTTTTGAGAAGAGATAACGTGGAGGCTGAGGAGATTGACTGGCAGAAAGGTGCTTACACTGCAGACGGTCCTGTTGAGGTCAAGGTTGCCAATGTTAAGACCATGGACGCCGAGGTGACCATTGAACTCAAGATAAGATCCAAGACTTTCGGGACAACATTTACCAGGGAGTTGGACTGTGGACCAGGAATGCGTTTCTGGTAAGTAGCTTAGTATATAAAAAAAAAAAAAGAAAGAAAACGAAATTGGTGACTAACAACTGCTACAGCGCATATTCAGAACATAACCTTCAACCTGCTACTAGGCACATTTGGTATTCAGTAACGGAATATTTCGTGTCTTTTTTTTCAGTGAACGCAAAAACATGGATTGTCATGACATGAATGACATGTTTGGTGTGAAAGGCCAAGGCATGTGTGATGCCAATTCCAGATTTAGAAACGGACGATTTGACAGCCAATTTAAACTTCCTGAAGGCTTAGAAAATATTTCAGGCACCGTGTCATCRCTGTTGAATACTCTAAGTGCAGTAAGTACAACATGACCTCACTTTATACCTGATAAATACCCTTAAAGCAGGCTAAATGAAACTTCCTGGGATGCATTATCATACACGTACGTAGAGATGGTTACCTCTTTTTGTTGCCCTAATCAATCAATACCCTTATAACTAGATCTTGAATTCCTTAATGCATGAGGCACATGAGAGCTTAAGGTGACACTGGATTGATTCCAATCAGTCATGGTAGTCTAACAGATATTTGGTCATTTGTATTCAGGATCAGATTGAAGTCGAACTGCACGTGACCGCCGAATTCTTCAATTCCGAGACTGGAGAAAGAACCGGCTGTCTGGACATTGTCCTTGGAGTCCACCTTAAAAATAATCAGAACGGAGGGGAAGACAACTCGAATCCGCTTTCTTCGGTTACATCACTTTTGTCTCTTTAAGAGGCTGTAAGCGAGAAATTAAAGGCGCACTAAGCTAAATTTGAATTCACATTTTTTCATCACTATTGACAAAAACGGAATGAAAAATGCAGATATGAAACCTTTGAAAAAGTATGGCTACATGTTACTAAACTCATTAATGTCATCATTAGTAATCATAGAAGAATCTTTTCAAAACTTACTTTTTCACAAGTTTCTAACATGTCATTAAAATTCGGGGATGTTTTAGATATTATAATTAGTTATGTYATAGGTTATTTTATTTGGTTGCTGTATGCTTTAAATCATTCAAAATAAATCCTTATGTTGTGGGAAGTTTTTTTCTGATCAGCCGTTGTTATTATAAAATTATTATAAAATACCAGAGTTCTTTCGCGCGCTCCAATTGGTCGAAATACCATTTCATTTTTACCACGTCATTTTTTTCTGAATTTTAACTTTCATAGGAAAAATAGAAAAACAAAATTTTTTCATTTGTTTGTTATTTTAAAAAGAAGATATATGCGTTAGAAAACCGTTTTATATTCATTTCATTGTATGCCTGCGGGTTTTTTTAAGTACTCTTAAAGTTGGCTAATGGTTCTATTTGCTAAGGACGAAATTCGGACGCTATCTTGGAAATATGTCCCCTGAATAAGCACTAAAATGAGCTGCAATGCAAACTCCACCCAATTTGGAATTAGCTTAATTCTACTTGCTCTTGAATATGTTCTTGATAAAAAAAGCACAATCAAGACATAACTCTTTCCGTATTCCAGCAGTGAGCGCCAAAAACGTTTTTCTTGAACTTGTTTGGAAGTGGAGATGACCGATGAAAGTGGAATCAGAGTGTTAACCCAAAGCAAAAATTTTATTCAAAAATCAGGTTTAGGCCAACATTTGCTTATTTCCCATATATTTTCTATAAAAAAGCCTGACAAAGCTACATTCTAACACAAAGGCAACAAAACATCTTTGTACAATTGAAAATTGCGCTTCAAAAAGGCATTCTATCATATTGCATCATTTTCTAACTGTATAAAAAGGGTTTTGAGTGTTAACCCAAAACGAAAATTGGGATCAAAACTCATACGAAAGTCTAGTTTTTGGCGCTTTTTGCCATTATTGCTTGTTATTGAAAACAATTTCCTCTTAGAGTATAGCAATTTTTACAGCCCATGATCCCACTTTTTGACCCCTTGAGCATGCGCTTAGAGCAGTATAGTACGGAACCCTTGATACATGTATATACAAAGATTGTGTTTCCGTGACTGAAGCCTGTCACAGTTGGGAAAGCTAGGTAAACTATTTGAAACGCTAGGATGCAATTTTGGATCTCGCGAAATTAGAAGTTAGGCGAACAACAAATTCCAAATGATTTGTATTTAGTTATTTTCGTCGAGAAAACTATAATCTGAGCGCAATGTCGTATTATAGTGAAGGGAGCTTATTACCCGCAAGAAGATCGGGCCCATAAATCGGGTGGAAGGAAGGGGCTTGCAACCAAGGGAGAGGGCTTTATGACTAGAAGTGGGCCTAATAACCGGGATTATAAGGTACGCGATGTTCGATTTATAATGGATATAATAGAATTCCAAAAAATATCATACTTTTGCAATTTTTTTAAGAAATTAACAAAATCCCAAAATTGTTTTAAATAATATGACGTCATCACTTTGGATGTTGTCTACAAACAACTCCTGTCCAACCGTCTTCTGTGTGCTTTTGGCATTTGCATAGACTCACTGGTCAAGATTAGTTATCGTTATGATTGATAAAAGTCTTCAGGAAACGAGACGACCAGATTAATATACTTACATCTATTTTATTATTACCTTGATGCTTTAATTTTTGTCAATAAAAATGCCCCCCTAACTCAATATTTCCGGTATCGAAACTAAATAAGTGAACAGCTGAATGGTAAAATATTTTTATAGAATTTGAGTGATGCATCTTGGAGATTTCAAGGTTCATGCTTCCAATATGCTAATGATGTAATTTGAGTTTATTTGTCATCTTGGAAATTACTGATTACTATGAGAAAACAAATTTGCAATAACCTTACTATAAACCACGAGTAACACAATGATCGATATTTTTTAAAGGAGGTTTTACTGCCATAGACAAGTTTTGTATATTTAATAAATGAAATGCCTCCTATGACATCCTAGTCTCCCCCTTAGCCGTTCTTAGTGTCGTCACGCAACGCTCCCTCGCGTGACGACACTAAGAACGGCTAAGGGGAAGACTTATGACATTCCAGGGAGAGAAGCTTGTTCACTGGCATTAAAATTTGAAGAAACGAAACATTAGCCTGAAAAGTAAATGCACTTGATTTATTTTATCGCTTGTTTACTGGTTAAACTACTCAAGGAGAATAGGGATCTCTTTTCTCAAGCATCCGACTTGTCCTCCATTGCTGCTGTCAAATAGTTGAATTGTTATGGTAGCTGATGCAGTATTCTAGAAAAGGAAATACAAGACGAAGGTAATGTCCCTGTCCTTGGTTGGTGGGTTGGTGGGTTGGTGGGTTGGTGGGTTGGTGGGTTGGTGG